CAGCAGCGGCAGCAGCAGCAGCGGCAGCAGCAGCGGCACTGCAACAGGTCTTGTGGATGCAATTTGCCGCAGCATTGACTCGCTGCGCGGCACTCAGGTGTTCGGTGAGCTGCCGCTAAACCCTAAACCCTAAACCCTAATTCAGTAGTTAAGGCACAAGACGACTGCCAGGCCGATTGTGTCGGTGTTTGCCGTTGCCGCTGCTGCAGTTTCTGCTGCTGTTGCTGCTGCTGCTGTCGCCGCTGGGAATTCTGCTGCTGCTGCTGCTGCCGCTACCACCTTCGTTGCTGCTGCAGCTGCTGCAGCTTCTGCTGCTGCTCACCTGCTCGCGCCTCTGCAACCACCCCCGCTTCTGCTGCTGCTGCTGCTGCTGTTGCTGCTGCTGCTGTTGCTGCTGCTGCTGCTGCAGTGCTAGGTCTTGCTGCTAGCCCCGCTGCAGTCCCTTTGGCGCTGCGGCGCAGCGGCCGCTTCGACGTGGAGCTGCAGCTAACAGCTCCTGCTGCAGAAGAGAGACTGGAGATCCTCCAAGTAACAAGCCCTAAACCCTAAACCCTAAACCCTAAACCCTTGTTGCGGCGAGCCGCAAGCCCTGGCCAGAGCCCTGGCTCCGAGCTCCTGGCCCCGGCTAAACCCCAAGGGCTGCCTAAGCGCTCAAACCCTAAACCCTAGCTCAAACCCTAAACCCTAGCTCAAACCCTAAACCCTAGCTCAAACCCTAAACCCGAGTTCAAACCCTAAAGCCTAGGTCGGACTGTGAACTCTAGAGCAAACCCAAAACCCTAAACCCTAGCTCGCTGCCCCACGACACAAGCCTATAGGGAACTAGGGACTTTTGCTGCGGGCCACTGCGTAGCACTCAGAGCCGAGTTTCTAGGGTTTAGGGTTTAGGGTTTAGGGTTTGTGCTGCTGATCAGGCAGTGGCGGAGAGCCTGCCGTTCAAGGTGTCGACGGGGCTAGCTGCTGCTGCTGAGGCAACAGCAGGAGCTGTTGCTGCTGATTTGCACGTTTTGCTGCACGCTGCTGCAGTTGCTGCGCTGCAGCGCACGCAGCAGCAGCAGCAGCAGCAACAGCAGCAGCAGCAGCAGCAGCAGGGTGCGGGCTGCAGCGGCGGCTGCTCCTCTCCCGCGCGCCCCGCAGCCCCAACAACAGCAGCAGCAGCAGCAGCAGCAGCAGCAGCTGCTGCTGCTGCTGCTGGCGGCGGGATCTGCGTGGAAGCAGCAGACTTGCTGCAGTCGCAGCAGGCGCTGCAGCTAACTTTGGAAAAAGAAACTGGCAGCCTCAGCAAAACGAAATTAAAGACAAGTTGGAGAGATGTGGGGGGCCTTAAGAAGGCGAAGCAGCAAATTGAAGAAAGAATTATCTTCCCCGTGCTCTTTCCGCAGCTCTACAAGCAAGTCGGTGAGGCTAGGGTTTAGGGTTTAGGGTTTAGGGTTTGGGCTTGGGGTTTGGGGTGTGGGGTTTGGGGTTTGCGCGCCCCCAGAAGAGCACCAGGGCTTTCTCCCTTGCCCAGGGGTTGAAGCCCCCGTTGCAACCTAGGGTTTAGGGTTTAGGGTTTCGGGTCTAGGGTTTAGGGTTTAGGGTTTAGGGTTTGTCAGGCCTGCGCCGCCCCAGCGGCATTCTGATGTTTGGGCCTCCCGGCTGCGGCAAAACCCTTTTGGCCCGCGCCCTCGCGAAGACCTGCAACGCGCACTTCTTTTCAGTCAAGGGTTTGCCAAACCCTAAACCCTAAACCCTAAACCCTAAACTCTGATTTGCATTCCGTGGAGGAGCTGCCTCTGCACCCGCTTCCGCCTCCGCGTCTCCGCCCGCTGCCGCGGCTGCACCCGACCAGCTGCAGCTGGAAAACCTGGGGTTTAGGGTTTGGGGTTTAGGGTTTGGGGTTTAGGGTTTAGGGTTTGCGCAGGCCCGGAGTTGCTGAACAAGTTTGTGGGGGAGAGCGAAGCTGCGCTGCGGCGGCTGTTTGCAAAGGCCTTTTGCTTCCAACCTGCTGTTGTCTTTTTCGACGAAGTGGATGCCCTT